CTTTTCTTCCTCTTCTGTCTTTATAATGACCGCCTGCACTCTTCCTGGATGATACATTTAAGATTCCGATCCTATGGAGTAGTTCTGGGGAGTAGTTCTGGTGATGGTCCTAGCTGGGGTATGAGTACACCAGTGGCTTCTTGGGAGAGAGAAAGACATGCTCCATCTATGTGATTTATAGCTTTGAAAACCAAACAGAGAGTCAGCTATGAGTCAGTGCTAATCAGACAGCACAAAGAGTCTAAGATGCAGGACTTAGGGGTCTTGAGAGAGGCAATCCTCCATGGATCTCAAGCATCCTGAAAGGTCTTGCTGAGTGTGCCAACAATGCAAGGCCCTGACTGGTCATATCCTGGTGTTACATTTGCAGAAACAACATTGAGGAATGAGGTAGCCTCTTCTCTTCACAAGGTACAAGCCCACTTCTACTTGTTTTGTTGTTGTTGATTACCATGGAGTCAAGCACAACTCATAGCAATCCTATGAACAAAAGGCCTGATGCCTTTCTATAACTATCGTCATTTATCAAAGTTCATAGAGTTTCCAGAGGCATGTGGTTTAGGAGGCGGGGAAAAAAAAATGACTTCTCCAAACCTTTGAGTGTCCCATGGTGACCCTAACTTAACTGGTATATAACATCTCCCTGGGATCATTTTTGTTACGCCATAGGACCTGAGGAGAGCAAAGAGAAACTGATGCCAACACAACACAACACAACACAACACAACACAACACAACACAACACAACAAAACACAATACAACTCAACTTGTTTACTGCTTGTTTGTTGTAAGAGTTCTGTATCTCTGGCCCAGGAATCCCTTATTTACTGTCAGCACCCATAAAAGAATATCAACCAACTTATTTGTAATTTCAGTAAAATTTCTAACTTGGTTCTTGACACTGAGCTTTGGGAGCCAGGCTATACAAGAAGGCACAGTGTGCTGAGACCACAGCAAGACCTAGGGTGCAAACTCTGAGGTGACACTTATTTTCCAGTTTGTTCCAGTGTCAATCCTGACTGTGAATTGACACGACCTTGAAAGTTGGTGTTTCCTTACATTTTGGAACCCAGGTGCCTCACTCACTTCACCCTCGTCTTATTCCTGCAGAAAAATGCAAATGAGAATAATGATGAGATGCCATTTCATTAACAAAATTACCAGTGGTGAAATAACTCACCACAATTCATTGTTGTGTGTGTGTGTGTGTGTACTGTCAAATTGGATCTGACTAGTACAGGAGGAGATTGTCCCTCTTCCAGCAGAGCATCTGGTGGATTCAAACCACTCACCTCTAGGCTTGCAGTACAGCTTCTTGCCACTAGGCCACCAGAGCTCACATCACCACAAATTCAAATGTGAAAAAAAAGTCAAATGTCAAACAGAGATCTGGAGCAATGCAAACTCATATACTGTTAGTGGGAAAATTAATTGATACAACAGTTTAGGGGAAAATTCAGTATAATCCAGGTAATTTGAAGAAGGGCATATCGATGGATCAGGATTTCCACTCTAACTACATAACTTAGGAACCTTCTTTATGCATGTGCATAAACCATGCAGAAAGTTTACTGCAGTTTTAAAAAAAAAAGAATGGCAACAACATTTTGACATATTTATAGGAAGGCATCTCATAAAGAAATAAAATGGGAAGAAATAATGCTATGTGATAGGATAAATCTCATAAACGTCAGGTTGACTGAAGTACTCAGGTTGCTCAAGGCATTATATCATTCATCTAAAGTTTGCAAGTATGTCAACGTATGTCGTTTGTGCGGGCGAAACTGCTTGGAAGTGTCAAAGGCGTCATAGGGATAAATGACAACTATGTGCATGTTTATCCCTTGGAAGGCTAAATGGGAGGAATGTGCAGCGGTGACATCAGTCATGACTGCAGTATTTGGTTAATGGTAGTCCTCGAAATGACACGATAAAACACGAAGATTTGACAAAGCTGGTGATAGGGTTAAGGGTATTTATTATTCTCTACTTGTGCATACTTAAAAAGACTATTAAAATAACTGAGATAAAATATAAAATAAAATTATTTTTAAAGGTTGAAAAGAGAGTGAGAGGAAAAATAAACAAGATAACCTTAATGGTTTACAGCAAATCAAATGTTTTAACCAGTTTCACAGCTACAGCTTCTTCCTAGGCTGACCTCTTTCTTGGGCACTAAGATATCTGCTGCCTATTTTAAAAATCATTGCCTCCTCCTGGTTAAGTCCTGAATAGTTCTCCAAACTATTCAACTGAATCAGCCATGGTCACAAGATTACTGTGACTGAACGAGATAATTTCGATTTTAGAAAGAAAAGCTCTTAAAATGAAAGTGGTTTTAGACATTCTCCTACTACTGGGCCAATAGGCAACAACATGGCAGATGCAGGACAGAGAGAAAATATAAACGATTTTATTTTGCCTGGATCCACAATCAACACCCTTGACACCAGCATCAAAGAAATCAATAGATATATTGTATTTGGAACACCGGATGTCAGAGACCCTTTCCAAAGTGCTGGAGAGCAAGGATGACAGTTTGAAGACTAAGGTGTACATGATCCAAACCAAAATCTTTTAAATTACTTGTTATGCAGCTGCAAGTTGGACAATGAATATGAATGACAGAAAGACCATCAATCAATACCTTTGAAAGAATTGCCAAAAGGACAAAGAAATATATCTTGGGGAAAAGTGCAGCTAAGGTGCTTCTTGGAGGCAAGGATAGTGGAACTTTGTTTTCCATACTTTGGGCATGTTGTTAGGTGAGCCCAGAGCTTGGAAAAGTACTTTCTATGCTTGGAAAGGTAGAGGGTCAGTCAAGGAGGGGAAGACTCTCAACAAGATGGCTTGGCACTAAATAAACTAGTATAATAGTAGTAAATTAATAAAAAGATGGATTGGCACAGTGGCTGTTACAGTCTGACAGAGATGGTGAGGATGGCACATGATAAGACAGGAGGTTTGGAATCCATTAGGTGACTGTGAGTGACCGGAAGGTCACTATGAGTCACAAAGTCGACTCAATAGCACTTAGCAACTCCCTTAAACAGAGAGTTTAATAGTTTCAGCCCACACAGAGCGGAGCCATGGGGTAAAGATTCCAGTCCTATGGAGCAGTTCTAGGGAGCTCTAGTGGGTAGCTGTAGGCAGCTGCACTGATAACACAGAAAGCACGCTTCTCCTGTGGTTCAAATTCATCATTTGCTTGTTAAAAAGATGGGAAAACTCCTTTTGTGCCATTTACAGCCTTGGAATCCCAATGGAGGGTCAGCTACGTATGACTTGATGGCAATGAGCTGAGTTAAAGGGTGCTGGGTTACCTTGAGTCAGAATCCACTCCACACAACAGGGTTGTCTCTTTGTAGAGCAGTTTGGAGGTGCTGTTAGGCAGGCAAGTCCCGCAGCACCTCAGAATTTACTAAGCCAAGGGGACAGGACAGCACAGCACGCAAGACTCACGTATGCACGCGTAGGGGTCGGAGATGGGCTTGAGAAGGTCTCTGTAGAAAAGGGGTCTGCAGCGGTCACAGTGCTGTCCCTCGGTGTGGTCCCGGCAGTCTTCACACACGCCCCCGCTGAGCCCACCGCTCTCCAGGTACACGGTCATGTCGAAGTGACAGCGCTCGGAGTGGCCATGGCAGTTACATGCTGAGGAAAGAGACAAGAGTTGGAGCTAACTGACCCTTCGGGGTTAGGGGGATTTAATAGTTATATAGCATTTTCTAATCATTCACTTTTTTTTTAGTCAGCCAGCTTTTTATAGATAAGCCAAACAAACAAAAAGTTGAAGGATCCTTTGGGTGTTATAATTCTGTTCATACACCCTCTATGAGACGTGTTCTTTAAACATTTAATGTTGCTGTTAGCTCTGAGGAGTTAATTCTGATGAATGGTGACACTATGTGACAGTTTAGAAGGGCCATGCAGGGTTTTCTAGGTTGTGGCCTTCTGGGTAAGGAGTTGCATTGCCAACTGGAGGGCAGGTGGTTCAAGTCTAACAGCTGCTTCAAGGGAGGAAGGTGGGCCATCTCCTCCCCTGGGATTTACAGCCTCTGAAAACCCCCTGCAAGGTTAGTGAGGAGTCTGTTCCAACTAGACAGCAAGGAGTCGTTGACTTCAATCTTTCCAGAAGCAAATTGGTAGGCCTTTCTGAATCAGAGGAGAGGCTGGAAAGTTTTAACAACCAACTTTAAAAAACACCCAAAACTATCAGTCAACCACAAACCACTTACCCTCTCAGGCTCCCAAACCTCTCTGGTGATCTTGGAACCCTAGCTCTGTTGTTGTTGTTCAATAAAAAAAAAAAACAAACAAACAAAAAAAAAAACTTTCACTGTCTTTTATTGTACATTTCAGTGTCTTCCATCAAAACTTCCATGCAATGATGTCTTTGTTTTCTACCACTGTCATAGAAATACCCCAGGTGGGTGACTCTGAAGAACATAAATGCATTCTGTCACCGTTCAGTTGGCTGCTGTTGCTAGCTGCCATCAAGTTGCCTACATCTCATAGCAACTCTTTGCATGACAGAATGAAACTGAGTGACCCAGACAGCACAGCAGGACGCAGCCCTGCCTGAGCCTGCACTTCCTCTGCTGTGCCTGGTCCACCACAGCAGGCCCTTCGCCAGTCCATCTCCTGGAGGAGCATCCTCTCTTCACTGACCCTCTAGCAAACATGACGTCCTTCTCTAGGGACTGGCCTGTGCTTATGACTTGCCCAAAGGATGAGAAGTTCTGCCCTCCTTGCTGCTAAGGAGCATTCTTGCTTCATTTCTTCCAACGATGGTGTTTCTCCACTGACTCTAGCATATGTAATAGTCTTTGCTAACATCCCAATTCAGAGACTTTGTTATTTACTGTAGAGCTTTCATATGCCTATGAGGTGATTAAAAATACCATAGCTTCACACAAGGACACACACATGCACACACACACACACACACACACACACATGAAGGCACACACGCGCATGCGCGCACACACACACGCACGCACGCACACACACCCATCAAATTGTGCAACCCTCTCTGGTGTGAAAAACAATATATTTGAACTTTGTAAATAGTATAAAATAAAATTTTAAAAAGTACCTTAGGAAAAAAATACAAAAAAACACCCCATGGCTTGAGTCAGATGCACCACAGTTTTTAAAGTGATATTCTTTCTTTCTGGCACTTTAAGGGGTCCCTGGCACCAGATTTGTCTAGTGTAGCATACACTGCTGCTGACATAGCCATTGGCATTGTAGCAGCACATTGCTGCTACAATGCTTACATGGACATAGTAGATCCAGGTAAAATGGAAAAAGGATTTATAGTTGGAAAATTATGGCTTTGGTGCTAAAAATGAAGATTACATAATAATAGAATTTCATACAATCAGTGACTTATTGCAAATCATTTATATGTTTTTAAAAAGACATAAACAGTGACTACACAAGACCATCCTTGTAGGATGGAACACAGAAGGATTAAATAGACTGCATCTGTGAAAGCGATGGCAGAGAAGCTCAGTATCACTGGTTAGAAGGCCAGGGACTGACTGCGAGACAGACCACCATTTGTTCACATGAAAGTTCAAATTGAAACTGAAGGAAATGAAAACAAGTACACAAGAGTCCCCAAAAGATCTTGGGTATATCCCACATGAATTTAGAGACCACTTCAAATACATATTGTTGTTGTTGTTATGTGCCATTGAGTCGTTTGCGACTCATAGAGACCCTATGTACAACAGCCCTAAACCCTGCTCTATCCTGTGCCAATCACACTGCCTCTGACACATCCCGATTACCCCAGTCACTGAATCAATCCATCTCATAGAGGATCTTCCCCTCCTGCGCTGTCCCTCCACCCTCCCAAGCATGATGTCCCTCTCCAAGGACCTGTCCCTCCTTACAACACGTCCAAATTAGATACCTGAATATTAAAAACCAAAAGGGAACAATATACTTGGAAATTCTTAATCAGAAGAATTGATCAAACTTCAACTATTTCAATCAATCAATTCTTTTTGGTACAGTGACTATGTGTATTCCTTCCACCTTTCTTTTAATGCTTCCAGAGTCTCTTAATATTTTGCCCATAGAATCCTACAGTAGGGCAAATTAAGACTTGAATTTTTTTCAGTGCTTTCAGTTTAAGAATTATTGAGCACATCCATGCCTTCTGGTTTTCTAACCCCAGGTCTTTGCACATTATTATACTATGTCATCTTAACAAAGTAAACCAGGCAATATCCATTTCAGGAAGTAGTATATGATCAGAAACTAGAAGTACTGAAGAGAGAAATCTAAGTGGTATGGAACACATCGGAAAATAAGAAAGGCTTCAGAAACTGATGAAATGCCGGTTACAATACTTCAACAAATGGTGCAGCATTAGATAGGTTACTTATCTTATGGCAAAAAATTTGGAAGACAGCTAGACAACTACTTGGCCAATGAAATAAAAGACATTTGTATTTGTGCCCATTCCAAAGAAATGTGATCTAAAGAAAGAATGAGGAAATTATTGATAATATCATTAAAATCCTACTCAAGTAAAATCTTGTTGCAGTTTCTTAAAAAACAGCTAGAATAGTACATCCACAAGGAAATGTCAAAAATTCAAACTGGACTCTGGACAGGATGTAGAATGATGTCATTATTGACAACAGATGGATCTTGGTTGAAAGCGAAGAATACCAGAGAGATTTTATTGACTCTGCATTCTGTTGTGTAGATTATAACAAATTAAGGATACTATTTTGAAGGATGAGAATTCCAGAATACTTAACTGTGTTCATGTGGAACCTGTATTTAGACCAAGAAGCAGCCACGTGATTAGAACAAGGAGATAGATATGTTGGGTTTTGTTTTTGTGTGTTTTTTTTGAGGGGGATCTGAACACATTTTTTTTTCCTTTTTATTTTTCTTAAATTCACCATATCCCGTTATATTTTTTTAATTTCCATTAATTCATTGTTGCACACTTTCCTCCCCATCCCAGTTCACTTTTATGGTTTAAAATCAGGGAAAATGCACATCAGAATTGTACCCTTTTACTATATTTATTCAATCTGCATGCTGAACAAATAATTAGAGAAGCTGGACGGTCTGAGTAATGTGGCCTCAGGATTAGAAGAACCAAGCAGCAGCCTGCAAGATGCCAATGAAACAAGCTTGCTTCAGGAGATGATGAAGACTTGAGGTATTTCCTGACGAAGCTTAAAGAGGATAAGCCTTCAGTAAGGATTATACAAAAACAAAAGTCTGCACCATTGCATCAATAAGCAACATCATGATAAACTGAAAAAAAGATTGATTTAATTTTTGCCTAGATCCATAATCAAGAAGCTAGAAGTCCAAATTCAGGCCACTGGCTCTAGGGAAAAGGTCTCCTTATTGGCTTTGGGGGAAGATGCTAATTACTTTAAGCTTCTGTAGATCCAAGTTCCTCTGTCCCACAGGGCTGATTTCTCTATTTCCATCTCATTTATTCTTACTTCTTTATCTAATCTAATCAACTTTTTTTTTCTAATCAACTTTTTATCACTCAGAAGTTATTAGCTTAATCACCCACTCAACTCTGCTATGTTTAACATAACAAAGGAAACCTTATCTGTTGTTGTTATGGGCTCTTTCTGAACACTGCTCTTTGCTGAGCCAATCTCACTGTCTCTGACACACCTATCCTCATTACTCCAGTTACTGTGTCAATCCATCTCATCTAGAGTCTTCCTCTCTCACACTGTCCCTCTACCTTTCCAAGCATGATATCCTGGATCTCCAGAGACTGGTCCCTCCTGGCCATGTGCCCAAAGTATGTGAGCTGAGCTGGGGGCTCAAAATTCTTGCTTCCAAGGAGCAGCTTTGTTTCACCCTCTCCAGGACAAACTTGTTAGTTCTTGTAGTAGTCTATGTTCAATACTCTTCTCCAGCATCATAACTCAAAGTCATCAATTCTTCTGTTGTCTTTGGCCCTTGTCCAGCTTTCTGATGCATAACAAGTAATTGCGAAGACCATGGCCTGTACCAGGCTCACCTTAGTCTCTAGACTGACATCCTTGCTCTTCAGCACTCTTAACATCCATGGGTTAGAATTAGAATACATATTTTTTGGGGGGAAAGAAACACCATTTGATCTATAACAACTGGGATCCTCAGATAAGATCTTTTTTGCTATAATATTTTTTTTTCTTCTCAGATAACATCTTAGAGTTGGCAAAGTGCTAGAGAAGGCATCTTTTTTTACTGAAGGGCTGTTGTTATGTGCTGTTGAGTTGCTTGCAACTCATATCGACCCTATGTACCACAGCCCTAAACTCTGCTCTGTCTTGTGCCAATCACACTGTCTCTGACACTCCCATCCCGATTATCCCAGTCACTGAATCAATCCACCTCATAGAGGGCCTTCCCCTCCTGCACTGTCCCTCCACCCTCCCAAGCATGATGTCCCTCTCCAAGGACCGGTCTCTCCTCACAACATGTCCAAAGTATGTTAGACGGAGCCTCAGAATCCTTGCCTCCAAAGAGCCACCCGGTTTAACCCTTTTCAGGGCGAATCTGTTTGTTTTCCTAGCAGTCCATGGTACTCTCAATACTTTTCTCCAGCATGTATGTATGTACTGAAGGGCTCTGGGGAGGGGGGGCAATGAGGTCCCTGGAGCATTGCTGTGTTTGCTGACCAACCTGAAGCCTGGCCTGCTTCTTCTCCATTACAGCTGCCTGTGACTGAAAGGAGGCTGCCCGCTTTATCACCCCATCTGGGTTCAGCAGGAGGAAGGGAAAGACAGTCTCTTTGGAGGAATAGTTTGTCTTTGTGGTCTGCGCTGTTTGTCTCATTGGTTATTTTCTCTATAAACAACATGAGCTTAGAGTATGTTTTGCTAGGCTTGTATACCCTTACTCGCATGGATTTTTTTTTTTTAAAGAGGGAACTTCTAATGACCTTTTTACCCTTAAAATTTATTTTTCCCAAATTCTGAGAAAAGACACTGGATGACAAATCTGTTTGAAGTTTATGAAAATGTGGTCACCAAAAACATTATTAAGAAAAAGAATAAAAGGATCTTATTAATAAAAATGCTTCCTATAATGTACAGTAGTGTGTTAGACTCAGTCAAGGATTTAACTTCTTTCCTGTTATTTGATTTATGGTCTGAGGTCAGGTTCACAGAACCTCTGATTATTCAGGAAAATGGTCTACAGCAGTGTGAGGCTGGCCCAGAGTCTGGCAGGTTTCGCTCAGTTGTACCTAAGACAGTCACCATAAGCTGGAGCTGAACCCATGGTGCATAACAACTAACAGAGGGATCTTTACCAAAGCTCGTGTTCCCTCAATCCCTTGGGTTACACCATCCATGCTCATAGTGTCACCACAAGGCTGTTCACCTTCTCTAAAAGTTCATTATGTTGTTGTTGTTGTTATGTGCCGTCGAGTCGCTTGCGACTCATAGCGACCCTATATACAACAGCCCTAAACTCTGCTCTGTCCTGTGC